GAGGAGGAAGGAGCGGCAGAGAGGAACCATTATGGGCTGACCGCAATCCCCCATTTCCCACCCCCTGCACTGCTGGGTGGGGTGGAGGAGTTGGGAATGTAGGAATGAAGTTGAATCAGGGGAAAAAAAGAGGGGGGGGAGGTGCTTTTGTCTTTGTTTCTCACCATCCAACTCTAGTTTAATTGGCAATAAATTAAATTAATTTTCCCCAATTAGAGTCTGTTTTGCCTATGATGATAATTGGTAAGTGATCTTCCTGTCCTTATCTTGACCCATGAGCTTTCTCCTCTCACTTTCTCCCCCTGGACTGCTGAGGAGGGGGAGTGAGAGAGCAGCTGGGTGGGTGTCTGGCAGCCAGCCAAGGCCAACCCACCACACTACTGTAACAACTGTGTTTTTAAATAAAAAAACTTAGCTCTACTCAGTTCTTAAAACTGTCTTGTAAGCACCAGCTTTTAGTGGCAGTTTTAGGATTGTAGATCCCAGCTGGCTGGAGCAGTCTCTCTGTGGCCCTGCAAAAGGCGTTTGCGGAATCTTACGCCTCTGCAGCATTTTCCTGCTGGCTGACTCCTGATAGCTCCATGCTCATTTTAAGCTGCTCTCTAGTCAGTCGCTTGCCAGGTTTTGGATCCAGTTTTGAAATGCTGATCTCCTCCTTAGACCGTTAATCACATTTATCATTAGGAACCTTGGAGGCCTAGAAGGAACAAATATTTCTCCTTTATCAGGTAGCCAGTAATTTGTCAGAATGTTATGTGCTTCATGCAGGGCCAAACTATGTTGCTTCAGGAGGTCTCACCACCTGTGCTGTACACAAATTACTGCATTATTTATGTCTACCAGTCCCGTGTTCTGTCGCTCTCCACCACAGCTGGGCATGCATGGCACAATCACAATTTAATAATGAACCTTCATCCACTCTCCCTACCTCCTTCAAAAAATGCATTAATGTATTTTATTGCTTAATAGTATTCCCGTGAAATTTTTCCCTCCTCCTTTCCTCCAGTCTAAGTGCAGAATAAGACTTCAGACCAAACTGTATATTGAATTTGGATTTTACAGCTGAAATCATTGTAAGGGCTCTGAAATGACCTCCAGTTTTGCCTACATTTTTTTTTATAGCTTCTTATTCTTTGCCTTTCTAGGGTGAGCAAGCCCTGCTTTTCTTTCTCTTCCATTGCTATGTCCTTGATCATTCTTGCCATGCTTTTATTCTGTGGTATCTTTCTGTTTAAGAGAAGGACTAATAGTGTTCCAGATAAGTCCGCACTGTTGTTTCACGGAGCAGTTTTAATGTTCTTTGTCTCATCAACACTTTCCATATGTACATCCCTTCACCTTGTTAGCTATTGTGTCAGCAAGCCTGCCCTGCATTGAGCAGGGCATTTCACTGAGCTGTAGATACATAGTGTTCAAGTTCCCTTTCTGAGAGCATATGGTTAGTTTGGAAGCATGTAAGGTGGTAGTTTACGTGCTTTTCACCAGTATTCATTCATTTCCATTTGCCTACATTGCACATCACTAGCCGTCAAATTGAGAAATTAATCTGGTTGATGGGGGTCACCCTGAAGTTCCTTGCACTCCTCTTTTGTTTCTCCTGCCCATAGTACTTTTTGCCATCCTGAGATCTTCTTGTCTCACTGCTCCTTTTCATCAGCATCATTAATGAGAGGTTTTCCTATGGAACCCTGAGGAATATTGTTCTTAAACTTTTGCAGGGGTGAAGGTGACCGTTTAAGTCTGTTCTTGCTTTCTGTCTTCTAAGAAGCCAGTTTTTAATCCAAAATAGTGTTTGGTTTCATATCCTATGATTTGCTTTCTTTCTTTAGTGGCATAGCTTTTGGAAGTCTGAAGAAGGTATACAACTGTTTCCTGTATTCAGTGCTCCACTGGCGTACTCAAACCATTCCAGGAGATTATGAATATCCAATTCCAGTATCTATTAGTAGTGTCTAATTCCAGACTAGTAATATCTAATTTCAGGAGATTAGTAACATCTGGAGAAGCCATTTCAGTTTGAAGTTTAAAGAAATGCTGTACTTAATGGTTTTTAACCAAACTTTCAGGAACCGATGCAGAAGTGACAGGTCTGGAAATCCACCTACAGCGATTGAAATGTAGAAAGGCATTGTTCACTACTCTCCAGGTTCAAAAGCAATGTGTCTTTTCAGTGAGATACTACATGTTGTTGGTAGCAAATTATCTAAATCATCCCTAGACTTCAGAAGGTTTTTATTATCTCATACTTTTATTGTTTTAAAAGAGTTATTTATTTTGTTGGAGATTATAAACCAGGTGACCCTTGTTTAAGAACTGCTGTAGACAGGCATCAATCTGATTGTGAATCACCAGAACTAAGGACAAGGTTATTGTTATGTTAGGTGGCAGAACTGGTCAACATCTTAATTCAGTTGGAAATACGTCCTTAGGAAAAAGTTAATGCTTTGTTAAATGCCTTATGAATCATTCTGTTTTCCCCACCATCAAGCTTATAAAACCTTGAACTAAAATAAAGTGGAAGTTTAATGGGGGTACATGGGGAATACATGATGCTGTTCAGTGGAAGAGTGACAATTTACCCCTCCCTTCTGCAATGTGATAGAGAGTTCTATTTTGATTAAAAAAAAAAAAAAAATTATTTGGCTGAGCTTTAAGGGAGAGGAGGAACTGTATGGAGCAGTAAAATCCAAGCAGCTCATGCCACCTTACTCTTAAAAGTTATCTTCCGTGAGGCTTAGCATAGCTCAAAGCAGTGGAAACGAAATAGGTAGCAAGAGCACCTATTAGTAGGAAGAACCAATTTGCTACTGTGCCTTCCTGTATGTATGTGCATAACAATTTGCAGGAAGCATGCTGCTCTGTTTTTAAACGAAGCGTCTGTGACACCCTGGCTACTGCCTTGTAGCCTCCCGTTGTAACTTCAAGTCTTGGAACCTGGGCAGTGAGACAGAGTGTAAATTGTAGGCTACTTTTGCAGATTTTGGTAAACTGAACTTTGAAGAAATCAGTAATAACAGAAGGAAAAACACATTTTCTTCTTGCTTTGAATTATGTTCAAATTAATATATGAGAAATGCGAGTTACCGTAATACTCACTGTTACGGCAAAATAAATGTTCTAATCACCAAAGCACTATTGCGTGTCATCTATCTAATTCTGTGTAACGAAGTATGTAATGGGAACAGTAATTATAACTAAAAAATGATTTATGAAAAATTTTCCTGGAAATGAGATCTTTTTGGCATCATACCTATTCTGGAACCTATTCATTTGGCTGGTTAACTTATTAATAACAATGTTTGTCTCTCAAAAGCTGTATCATCCTAAAAGAAATCATATTCATTGATATTTATAATGCATATACATTAACAGAAACATAGAAATAATTTGGCAGATGTTTTTTCAACAGACAAAATAGTTTCCTTCTGTGAGACTGTTCCAGTTAACATTTTTATACGTAGTCATGTTTTTAGCATAAGTTATCTGCCCTTTAGGAATGAATTCTTCTGAGTGAACATTCAAATCTGAGAGCGGGTTGAAAGACCCCCCCTTTTTTTTATATATCAATGTGTCATAGAAATGCCCATTTTTTCCCCAGTAAAGCTTAAGTTAACCGGTATGTACAGGGCTCAGTTTAAGATGAGACACAGTTATATATCAAGTGACTTGCACTGAGGTAAAATTAGAAATGGGAAATACTAGCCAGATTTCCAGGTGTTAAATGATGCCCTGGGGCTATTTCTAGACTAATTTCATTATCTCTGGATGCAAAAATTAAGTTAATCTATTTTATATTTTGAAATATATTAAATAATTTTAAAAATTATATATGATGCCCTTTAGTTCTCTGGGAGTTAAGTGGAAGGTAAATCAAGTATCTGGTTTTTAAGAAGCTGGATGCATAACATAGACCTAATCATGGATTGTGAGCTTTGCTTCAGGAATAATTCAGGGCAGAATGTTAGTTTCTGTATTTCGTTTGCTGCTAAAGCTGAATGTTATATGATCAGTGAGACAGAGGATTACAGGTGAAAAAGGGACAGTAGATGGTCTGAGGTAGTTGAATGATCCCAAGAGAATTTCATTCTAGTCATATCTCAAACAAAAAAGGTTCCTGAATGGAGTTTCAAAAATTGAAAAAAAGTTTCAAAGTTCAAAACTTTCACTGACAGTCTTTCGGTCCCTCATTTTTAGAGACACTTGTCTTGAGTCTTAAAAGCTGTTTAGCAGGGGTAGATGTGATATGAATTTGACGTACTAATGTTGTTAAGGCATTGAAGGCCAAATCTGGAAAGTAATTTAGGTGAATTTCCTAAATCTTGTAGGAGCTGGGCTGCTAAATATCTTAGCAGAGCTTGTCTTGAAGCATTATAACAAAAATGACATCTGGAAGTAAATGGGAACAAACCTAGTATGTGTTTAGTGCAGAGTTTAGATAATACAGAATTAATGCATAGCATATATTAAACTGAGAGATACATTTCATTAATTATCTGCTTGGTTAATATGCATTTTCAGAATAAAAAACTTCATGATAAAATAGATAAAATTAGCACAAAGGGGATCAACTTAAAGTGGAATGGGTTGTCCTAGCACATGTATTACCTAGCTTTTTTTAGTTGGCTTTCTAACTGTAATCTTCTTTTAATGAGATTTTAAATGCAATTTCACTACGGATAATAGGTATGACAGTGTAGGGATTCAGAAAGCCCAGAGACTAGTGTCATGTAACCCTTTTCTTTGGTCACGATGAATTTTCTTTGTTACACTTTTACTAGCACTTTTTTCTGTCTAGTGCAAATAAATCAAGAAACAGGTATCGTATTGTGTGCGTAAATATCACTGGCTATTCTTTAAATGGTTGAATTTGCTTTTTGCTGTTCCATTGTTTTAATAAACCATTCTTTTTAAGTACTGAGCACATTTCTTTTGCAGCCTTCGCAAAATGGTTTTTTTTCCCCTCTTTCAGCTGTCATTTAGATGTTGATGTGTAAAGCAAAATGGCAAAAATCAACACCCAGCACTCCTACCCCGGTATGCACAGACTGTCTGTCAGAACTACCGATGAAGATATTGAAAGGATTGAAAATGGCTGTATCAGGTAATATATTGCTTTCATCGCAGTCAAGAGGACAGTTTGCTGCATAATTTGTGGCACTCCTCTAGCTCTGCATTATGGGAGTGTTATATCCCGATATTGTTGACCCAATGCACTTAACTGCCTTAACAATGTGTAGCCAAAGTACAGAAGAGACAGCAGCAGGAAGGTTGTCATGGCTTGCAGTTTTGGAACCAGAATCTGTATTACCTCAGGAATAAACCCCATTTTCACATCAGTGGGAATTACACCAACTCATTAAGGAGAAACCTCTTTCTCAGGTCACCACGCAGATAGCAGGGTCTGTTCTTCCCCCAGTCTGTGGGATTTGGAGAAAAAGGCATCCGCCCAGTGCCATGCAGTGAAAAGCCTCAGGACGCTTTTTTTAAAAGTAGCCTCTGCAAATCGCCTAGTTGCTGTGATAGGGAACATTTGTAGCGTATAAAGAATATCGACATTTTTGTACTGGCTTTTCAGAGCCTCTCACTGTACAGTGGACCTGTAACAGTTTCTTTACATTCACCTTTCTCTCTTTTGATAGTTTTAAAGTGGCTGTTTAAAATGTGCCAGTGAGCTTGCACTTACATTTTACACAGTACCAGTCATTTGTCCAGACTGGGCAAACACTGCTGGGCCTGCAGGAAAGCGTCTGATGATCCACATCGCCTGTACAGACCAGAAAAAGTGTTCAGCTTTTGGCTTGTTAGGTCAACCACCTCCGCTATGTGGACCTTGTCAGACTGTCTCTTGCTGTTCAAATGTGTACCCAGACTAGAGCACGTAAAATCCTGCTGGGCTGATAGGACTGCCTGCGTTACAGTAATTTTGGATTGCATGCCCCTAGCATCTAGTATGGATGTGATCCCTGTCCTGTTTGAATTGGTCCTTTTTTTCTTTCTGCTTTGCTTACATGATACTTTCTCTCATGTAGGTGTACCTACACTAGTGACAGTGGAGCTGCTTTTATTTAGCACAGTATGGCTTGCTTGACTTAGTTATACTACGCCATGGTCTCCTTAGGGAGATTTGCAGGAGCCGTGTCCCTTTGTCTCCGTTTACAGTGATATCTCAGAAACAGGGAAAACACAGAGAGAAATGAGCCTCTTCCTTTCCTTTTTTTAACGTCCTTTTTGTAGAGGATATCAGTGATTGGCAGCTCACAGAATGGAATTACTGGCAGGGATGTGAGAGTGTGGTTATAAAGGTTTAAATGTAGAATTAAATCACTGCAGTCATCTGCAGTTTCAGAGGCAATGGCTTGCTTATGACAGCTAGAGGGACTGAAATATGAATTGCACTTCACCATGATGATGATGGTCTTGAAGAGCCATTTATTTAAAAGAAAGTTTGCTGTTATCAGCATTAATTACAGGAGTTCACAGATGAGTACAAAGATACAATCTCACTCTGTAAGAGATCTCATATTTAAGGTTTTTGGATTGCTGAAGTGATTGCTAGTAAGTATATAGGAGTCTTGTAAAAAAATCCAGAGCGAGCCCTGGTAAAGTCCAGGTTCCAGTGAAGTCAATTTCAAAACTCCATTACTGAAAGATGAGGCTAAAATTTCATCTATTTTTCTCAAATGCTAGTTATTTCAGTGCTAATAAGTAGTCTTACAATTACGGGAACTCATGGGAGTTGGCAGACGCTGCATGCAGCTTAATGTTACAATCACTATCTGCAGTTGCGTGCAACTGGGCTGTTGTAGTGTTTTCCATGTGCGGCAGTAGCCTGAGGTGCCTCATCTCATCGCTGCCAGAGCAGCCCTGAAGATCTGTAGCCTGTTTTGCTATGTGACCGGTGAAGTTTCAGTTATGAAGCGAGCATCATTAGGCCTGCAGTTGTGCAGCTGGCGGCAACAGGATGGTAAGAACAGCAGTGGTGCTGCTCGGGACTGAAAATCACCATTTTCCCTTTCAATCCAGGCAAGAGTGAAAGCAAAAAGAGATGCGTATTTGCTTTGAGTCACAAAAAGGAACCGCACTGGTAGAAATTCCAGACTGTTAAACCCAAGCAATGTCTAGGAGAACAATGCTGAAAAAAGTAGTGGGCAGTCACTTTAAAGCCCCCTGGGGATGACCTCTATGTTGAAGGAAAGCTGCTGATGCCGTACAGGAGGTGTTAGAGTAGAAAACACGCTTCCCATAATTGTGTATCTGCACACCAGAGTAGTACTGACCAGTAAGGAATCAGCTTCTGAGCTTGCTGGAACGGATGGCAGAGCCTCCACTGACTTCGTTTCGTGTTGGATGGCTCCAGAAAAGTAGGAATATAGGCTTAGCTCTATGTTTATCAAATGTGTGCCATATTACTAGGAAGAGGACAGTTTGCTGCATTGTTTCCTTATGTAGTGGTGGAAAAAATCAGATGGGGGCAAGTCTGCTGGAGGCTGTATGGAATTCTTAAAAAAAATTTGCTTTTGCAGAACCCATTCACTGTGTGAGGATGCGTCTTCAGAACTGCAGAGAGTAATTTCTGTGGAGGGAAGACATCCATCTGGATCCCAGACGAGCTCATTCACAGGCAGGGGAGCGATGGCAAGGTAACGTGCTAACTAATACCATTTCCAGTATTAAATTTAAATTGTTGAAAGAGACCGATGACAATTTGGAGGCAAAGTAAGAAGAACCATCACTTTCCAAAGAAAATGGATGGAGTCCAGATGAAGAAAGTCTATAAAAAGTAACAGAAGCTGCTTTTGACCTTGATTCTGAACTCATTGCTCTACTCATTGCTAATAAAAACCTTAGAATCCTAGAGATGCTGAATGAGCTCACACAAATTAGTCTGAATAAAAAAAACCAAATTATTTTTACGTGATCAGATGTGAAAATATATTGAACACTGAGGAAATGCATGAAGTGAGGCCAGACTGTAAAGTAAATGGATAAGTGTTTGGTTCTGGCTGATAGGTGATGCAATGTTTGTTTCCTGTCAAATGAGACATAATGATTGTTCCCTTGTGGGTAGATGGCTCTGGCAAGGGAGGAGGCAGGGGCTTTTCTGTTGGGACTGCAAGAGTTTCAGTTTTTAGAATCCAGTTATGTTTATAATGGATTGGGAGCCTTAGTCAGCAAAATTCAAGTCAACAATTTGCTTAAGTCATTTGCTTCACCGTGACTTAAATATAAACCTGAAGTGGAGCTTCAAAAACTTACTGTGTCTGCTTTAAATATTTCCAGCTGAGGCTACAGAGCTCTGTCTTCAGATACCATTGTTATACACAATACAGACCATACTCAGTTTAAGGACAGTGTATTTCAAAGAGCAAAGAAAAAAATTATTATAAAACTG